GCGACGCTCAAAGTTTTGCTAATAGTTGAAGAAAGTTTATTTAAGCTATGCGAGGGTAGTTTTTGCGATTGTGTGATATTATTCTAAAATGAGGTCCACATTTTGTATAGTATTTTTAATATGATTCAATACTACTTTATTTCTTAACGGACTACTTTAATTTAAGAAATATTCATTTGACTTCTGTAAATTTCGTAATTTAACAAAGAGCCCTCTTAAATAACCATGCACGTGTCATACTTGTACAAACACATATTGTTGCGATTGTATTGGCGGTGCGTGTGGAATACATTTACCGACCTCGGCTCTCATTTTATGGATTCTCCTTGCTTCACACCTTTCCGCACTATACAAATTACAATTTTTATGGCATACGATTTTAAAAAATGTATACGGCCCATAAAAGCATCCACCACACGTGCCATGAACGGAAGGAAGCTGAACGGAAAACTCAAAAGCGTTTGTCTTTCAATGGGGGTTTCTGATACACTTGCACGAGGCATAATAAGTTAAAGTGAATCATTGTATTGTTAATCACAATGATCAGCAGCATGTTAGTCTTGGTACAGTTGTTTCAGATTGTTACAGAAGCATTACATGTAAACATGTTAAGCCTTTTTGCTTTGTGAGACATCCAATCCTTTCACAATATGTCCTATTGAAAACAAGCCAAAAAATAATTTATATTTAGTGTTTGATAGTTAGATACCATTTATTTCTTTCAGCCCCTTCTTCCATTTTGTGTATTAATGTATTATTTATAATGTGCTGAAATTGAATACAAACTAAGTTGGATGATTTTTATTTGATTTTGATTTCCCTAGTCGCTAGATTGACAGTTGATTTATATCGATGATTTTGTGAGTTGCGTGCGCACAAATTGAAGTGAAATTATTTGCTTAATTTTCGGCGTTTAGTTTTATGCGGCATTATTTAATTTATGTTGTTTTGTTCTCTGTTCACAATTTCGCGAACAATGCGCAAATCACATAACAGCACGAACCGTAATATTTCATGTAATTCTTTAGTTTTTTCTGTTTACTTTTGGTGTGTGATTGCGTGCCGTTTGTCGTTTGGTTATGTTAATTTAACTGCTGTTCGCCCTTTTTATTCTGTTTTTTGTTTATTAAATATTCAGGACATGCAAATGGCGGTTGCATGCCTATTAACTTTGATCGATTCAACAAAATGGGCGCGTACATTTTATGAGCAATTAATGTGGTTAACATTGTGGTTGGCCCATGCAACCGGAAGCTCCAAGCCGCCAAATTGGTTGCCACCAAGTGAGTGACAATCAACATGATATCAAAGATATTATCAGGCAGCATAAACACAATGCAGATGCAAATATAACCCAAGAAATCCAATTTAATTAGAATGCCAGCACTCATGCTCTGATTTATAATGCAATTCGTTTGTGCTCTAATCAAATTCAATTTGTTTAGATTTCGGTCTGCATATCTTAAATAATTTGAATAATATATTATTCATTTGTACTCTTACACAGCATAATCTCCACATGTCTGTACTCTCGCACGTACAATATTTTAAATATGCATACAGTTTTTGCAAATGCAAAACTCGCACATTTCCGTTGTTTTTTGTAGCGTGTTGGTGTTGGTGATTGCGGCAGTGACCGTCAAATACTTAACGCTTCGCTGAATGCGCCGAAAAATGCATAAATTGTCATGCATTTATGCAGGACGAGTCGGCTGGCATTCCTGAAAACACCAAACGAAATAATTACGCTGAAGTCACAGAACCGGAATACCTGCATTACAACAATTTATTGGCTTTGAGCTATGCACATTAAACAATTAATGGCAATGAAATGACATTTAAGCATCATTACCTAGCTGAGAGTGCACAACGGGCAGATACCCTACAAATGGTTGAAAAGAGTACAAAATGAGAAAATGCGATCAAAGCGTTACTCACTGAACATTTTTATATTTTGGTGTTGGAACCGGAATACGAGTATGTTTAATTATAAATTAAAGTTCTTTGTATTGCACATTGTATTATTATATATCGTCTGTCTTCGGCAACAGATATGCCTTGCAATCAGAGTTGAGCAACATTTGAGAATGTTTTCAATGTCACAACGCGTATTAGAACTTAATTACATCCATTGCTTAAGCACTTTATGGTTACAGCATATAATTAGGGACAAGCATAAACCACACAGCCGCCAAGCATTTGCGAAGTGTAAAATTATTGCATACTTTGCAGCGCATGTAAAATTAATGTATCGCTCTAACGAGTGTTGCCTACTTTTCAGCGTAGCCGTGTCAGCTACGAATGCGATTGACGAGCTCATGCACAATTTCGCTATTGCGTTTGTCTTTTGGTTGTCTGTTGTTCGCTGTCGCTGTTGTTGGCATGTTTAATGTTGCCCCGTCTCTCATTATTCTTGTTGTACTGCCGTTATTAGAATACTTTTCTGCTCTGTCGTTTACGTTCGCTGCTGCTGGTGCTTGTGCTGGTGCTGCTGCTGTTGTTGACTTAGTCAAGAGCAATTAACATGCAAATAAGGCCTATTAGTTATCCAAACGTCAGTCTGTCAGCTGCTGCGTCTCTTACGGTAAACAGCTTTAGCAGCGGGCAGAAGGCAGGAGACAGCAGTTACCTGGTTCAAACGTGGTGCCTCTCATTTTGGACACCTTTTTGTGCTCTTATTGGCCTTTTAACGGACCGGCGTTTTGCTTTAATGACTTACTAATTTTCAGTTTGCTACCAGTGACTTCTACGCTGTCGTCTATCGTCTGTCGTTGTTTTGTTTGCTCTAAAACATTTAAAAATTTAATTGCCTATTTCGGGGCAACGGTCGCTTAGCCGCTGGCCATTCATATCATTAAACTTTACGGTTATGTTTTATATTCAAAACTTTTTGATTTTCAAAATAACGAGACTAAAACATTTTTGTAAGCAAAATAGGGGTTGCAATAGCCAACTCCATCTTTGTGAAGTTAATATAAAACAAGTCCCCTAGTTAAGCTGTTAATCTCCGAGCTGAAAAGTGTTAAACCCTGGGGTTACTAGAATTGAAGGTATTCAGGGATACCGATGACCCTTACGTAGTCTTACTTGGTTTTAAAAAATCAAAATTTATCATATTATGCAAGAAATTTTTTATTTTACTCTCTCTCATTAGGAAAATAAGAATTCAACATTTTAACCTTGCATTTTGTAACAATTCTGAACAGATAGATTGCTAATAAGGAATAGAATTGCGAGAATTAACAGCTCAGCTTTTCTTTTAATTTTGAACATTCACTTTAAATATTTCTTAAATTATTGTGAACACATTGCTGGATACATTCTGAATTGCGTGGAGTTTCGAATGTTAGATAGCTTAAAGGGTATGTCATAGCTGATTTCTTGTTTCCTTCATTTTGGTTGTTTATCTTAATATGCTGCTGAAACCCTTTATTCGTAATCTTATCACTTTTTCTTTTTGTTTGCCTCATTTATCGAATGCTCTTTGCCCCTGATTGGAGCATGAAATTTGTATGAACTTTGCCTACTACCATTAATGTTAATTGATCACTTGAATTTATGCATTTTCATTAAAACTTTTTGAAGTCACGACTCCTGCTACCTCAAAACATCAGCATTTCAGTCAGAGATCAGGAATTCTGGTAGAAGCAGAAAAGAAAAAGTAACATTTACACAGCTCCTGTGGTAATTTATAGACCTGGCAAAAACAGCGCCACACAATGCTCTCGGTCCTATGGATTCTGGACTCTGGTCAGTGGCACTTTCAGCAAGTTTAACACCACGCCAGGCCGCAAATCGCAACTGAATGTGCAGCACATGCAAGTGTGTGGTCACATACACACACACACACACACACGCACACCAACACACTTGCACACACACACACACCAACATACTTGCACACACTTGCACACACAATGGCGCAATGAATGCTGTGGGTGATGATCCAACGTGATTTATCTACTGACGCTGAGGTTAAAAGTTTTGCACATATTCTCATTGTCTAGGTCAGCTTCTATTTGTATGCAGAGCACGCTGATGCACACTCAGAACAATTTAGAAAATCGACCTGAAGCCAGAGAGTTTGGTGAATTAAAAAAAAAAATCGAAGTGTTCGAAATATATTTCATAAAATTACTAACGTTTGACGACTGTTTATACTTACAAAATAAATATATTTTAAAATCAAATTTATAATTTAGATGTATCAATTAGCATTTAAGAAACTTTAACCATTGTTTACAAAAAACCTTTTCTACAATATTTGGTAAGCCAGAAAGTATGGTGATTTATTAAAATTCAGGACAATTTTTTTCTGTGTGCACACATACACACATAACCACACGTGTTGTAGGCACCGCTTTGAGCTCAATCGTTATGCAAATGCTGACTATGTCGAGCTGTCAGTGTGCGTTGAATAATATGCTCTGACTCCTACTCCTACTCCTGCTTGTGCACCTGCAATTATTAAACTTTTGGCATAATTTCAGAATCTGACTTTGGGCTTTAACAATGATTATTCTATCTGTTTTATACGAGGGGCCTAAGCTGTTTAGCCTGATATCTGATGCCAAGACCTGCGGCACAAGATGCTGACAGCCAGCTCATTAGCCTTGTCGAGTGTAACTAATTATTGCTGGCTTGGTTTCCGTTCTTCTCCACTTATTGACAGGCTCTGGCTTCGGTTTGCCCCTTATGCAATATTTTGCTGACGCTTCACTTAGATCCATCATTTTGTGCAGCCATCTGCGACACGTGGCCCTCAGTTGGCTAATAAATCTTAATCAGGGGATGCCCAAGTCAAGCCGCAGCAGTCAGTGGGCGTTGCCTATTTGCGAATTTCATTGCCATAAACACTTTTTTTGCCTTTTCTATTTTTCTAATTTTTGTTTTTCGTAATCTTAGCTGATAGCTTATCATATTACGGGGCATTCATTGGTCCGCATGGACCTGATTGAGAGTCTACGCGTGTTCGGAATAAAAACATTTCAATGCTAATCAATTTATTATTTTTATATATGCTGAAAATTTAATTTTAAGATTTTATGAGCAAAGAAAAGGAAAAATTATGTAAGACAACGGCTTAGATTCTCAAGTTCTTCACAAGTTTGTCCCACCAACTCATAGTAGTGGTGGCTTCAGGCGCAGAGGTAGTAGCATTCCAGTTTGGAGTGCTAGAATTCCAGCTAGGAGTAGTCAGATTCCAGTTCGGGGTGCTCTGATTCCAGTTTGGAGTTGACATATTCCAGTTGGGGGTCGTCCAGTTCCAGCTTGGAGTTGACGTATTCCAGTTGGGGGTCGTCCAGTTCCAGCTTGGAGTTGACATATTCCAGTTAGGGGTCGTCCAGTTCCAGCTTGGAGTTGACATATTCCAGCTAGGAGTCGTCCAGTTCCAGCTTGGAGTTGACATATTCCAGCTAGGAGTCGACCAGTTCGAGCTTGGAGTTGTCCAGTTCCAGATTGGTGGGGCTGGAGTTGTCCAGTTCCATGATGGGGTCTCCGTCCAGTTCCAGCTTGGAGTTGACATATTCCAGCTAGAGAGTCGACCAGTTCCAGCTTGGAGTTGACATATTCCAGCTAGGAGTCGACCAGTTCCAGTTTGGAGTTGACATATTCCAGCTAGGAGTCGACCAGTTCCAGCTTGGAGTTGTCCAGTTCCAGATTGGTGGGGCTGGAGTTGTCCAGTTCCATGATGGGGTCTCCGTCCAGTTCCAGCTTGGAGTTGACATATTCCAGCTAGGAGTCGACCAGTTCCAGCTTGGAGTTGACATATTCCAGCTAGGAGTCGACCAGTTCCAGCTTGGAGTTGTCCAGTTCCAGATTGGTGGGGCTGGAGTTGTCCAGTTCCATGATGGGGTCTCCGTCCAGTTCCAGCTTGGAGTTGACATATTCCAGCTAGGAGTCGACCAGTTCCAGCTTGGAGTTGACATATTCCAGCTAGGGGTCGACCAATTCCAGCTTGGAGTTGTCCAGTTCCAGATTGGTGGGACTGGAGTTGTCCAGTTCCAGCTTGGAGTTGACATATTCCAGCTAGGGGTCGACCAGTTCCAGCTTGGAGTTGTCCAGTTCCAGATTGGTGGGACTGGAGTTGTCCAGTTCCAGCTTGGAGTTGACATATTCCATTTGCCATTATCAGAGCCTCCAGCACCCTTAGAAATGCAATTCTGCAGGCATCGTTGGACTTTTCCACTTCCAACGCAGCATTCTTAATTTCATGGATGACACAACGCTTGATCTGCCAGACCCTTCTCAACATTGGATGCACAGCATTAAACAGATCCATGATCTAAAAACGGAACATTCAGCTAGTGAATCGCTAGATAAAAAATGCAGTTCGATTCTAATGATTCCTTACCAAATCTGCAAAGCACTCATGCTTGCTGCAGGCGGTCATCTTCTGCTGGAAGGCAGTTTTCACAGCAGATGAGCTTTGCTGTTGCAAAAAGGTTAGCAGTTCGAATTCCTTCACATTGGCACATTGGCGCAGCTTGCTGCTCGCAATTATAACTCTCTCAATAATTTTTATATTGTAAATAGCCGCACATTCATTCAAATTTTTTAATTCATTCAATTCGGGTATTTTCAGGCCGCCCGTAATACCATCGAATAGAAGATTTTTTAAAATCAACTCATTGCGGACACCGTTCGAATTAGTACTCTCAGCCGTCGTAAAGATCTATAGATAAAAAGACAAAATTAGTTAGGTATATGCAAAATGAAAATGACTAAAATAATATGAATAGTTATACAATAATTAAATAAATAACTTAGCTAAATATATATTTTATATTAAAGCAAGTTATAATTTAATTTTTTTCCAATGTACATTCAATTTAGTATATACTCGTACATGTATAAATACAATTTAATATTTATCATTTTTCGTCTGAATAATAGTTTTATTAACACTTTTCACTTCAGCAATGGAATAGATTCGTTATATAAGCGATTAATCTATAGAAAACTTTTTCATAACCTAATTTTTAATAAATTGTATCTTTAGTTGAGGAAGTACTTACGTTCGCGCTAAATACCAGTGCGCAGAGCACCAGCAATTTGCAGAGAACCTCCATGATTTCGGTTCCCGTCGTTTGTTAGTTTGCCAATTTAGCACCTGACCGTTTTATATCAAATTTGGCCGCGAAAAAGTTGATAGCTGGGAATTTTTCTAATGTATTTTTTATTTACTTATTATTGTTTATCTACACGAACAAATTTTCCTGCAGAGTCTTCCTCACTGTGATAAGAAACCTAGCAGTCTGAAAAATATATTATAATTACGTAGTATGTATATATATATATATGTATATAATTATCTAATAACTAGATACGGTTACTAGATTATACCCCCACGTCGCTTGGTCGTGAGTAATATTTATATACAGTATATTTGGGAACTCTGATTATTAAGACACTTGAGGTATTGGCACTCTTAATTGCGAGGCGCAATATAATCAGATTAAATAAATATTTATGAACGCTGTCGCCTAGCGCTCTATTATGTGTCTAGATATTGACTGTTTGAAGTTTGTTGAATATTAAAGATATTTATTCATCATATCCCATACAACATAAGTACATTCATAAATTTGATGTGCAAAAATTAGATATTGGACTGCTTAGCGGCTTGCTCAACTGGCGTCTGCTCTTGCAGATTCTCTGGCTGTTTTTCAGCCATTTTCTCTGCCTGATTCTCCGACACATCGTTAACCTGCTCCATCTTCTCCTTCTGCGCCGGTAGCTCACGTTGATTAGGCGCCATGGCCATGCACTTATCGAAATCATTGGCCGCCTCAATGGAGTTCACCTTGTACTGGCTGACAGCAGAGCTGATGCAGTTGGCGCGTTGCGTCTTAACGATTGTGGAATTGCTGGTGTGCTGAGACGCGATCTGGTAGGCCAAGGAGTTGGAGCTATCCAGCAGTTTCAGATTCTCGTCGAACTAAGAAAAAAACAGAGTTATGATTGATTATATGTGCATTTAAATTAAATTGCTCTCTTACATGGGCGATGGTACAATTGATGAGTAGCAGATTTTCGGATTCATTAGTGCACTTTTGCAGATTATTCTGCAAGGTCAGCACCTGGCTGCGTATCTGATTGCCGATTACGTCTCTATTCTGACTGTTGGCCACCAAAGTACTATTGTAGGTCTCCTCGCACTTGCTGGTCGCGTTGGTCATCTCATCGTGGTTCATGTTGGATGAATTTGTGTGTTTATTGACGCAATTAATTTCAGGTGGTGTCAAGGAGCGCGCTTCGCTGAGCGGCGATCCCAACTGGGCTATCACCATGCGGAGCAGGCTCGTCTCGGCGGCAGTATGGGGCCAGGCGCTGGCCTAATAATTGAGAACAATTAATGAGGATAGACGAAGAAGCACTCAAGTGGCGCGTACTTACACTCAACACTGTAGCTGCTAGCAGTATAACTTTTGTGATCAATTGCATATTTAGTGATTTTTTTGAGGTTTCAGATGCTTTTTTGATTGCTTACTAATTGCTCATTGTAAATTGATGGCGCTTTTATAGCCCCCAATTCAGAATTCTCAATTTTCACAGGGGAGAATGCAGAAATTCTGGCAGCATTTTAGATAAGATAGAGATTGTAAAAAGCAATTGGCTGGTTAATTGCCTTTTGTGCAGTTTTAAGACAACATTTGGCACGGTATCTTTGTCGAGGTTATAGAGTAAAGCAACTGTTGGCCCCGGCGCACTATCAGAGCTCATGTCTCATCAATTGCTCTTATCAGACAGCTGCTTTTTGGTGTCTTAGTGTCTACATTATAAGCTGTGATGATATAAGAACTTATTTATAAATATATTTTTATACCAACGTGAATCATATAATGCTCTCAATCGGATAGACTCAATTCAACTCATTCAATTTACACGCTATTTAATTAATTCCCTTAGTTGTAATCGAGTGGCATTTAAATTGTCAATTATTATATTACATGACTAGCTCATACATCCCATACTAATAAGTCAATATTTTCGCAGAACTGATAGAGTATATAAATGTGTTTTCATAAATTATCTTGTCATTTCTTGGGGATTTTATTTTCTAATTCTTTAGAATTTCATTAGATTAGATCACATATACTTAAAGTTTGCTTAATTGCTTGATGAATTGTTTACTCATGGAGGAAGGATAAGATAAGTTAATTATACCCTAAGACCATTAAAAATGGATAAAATTAGTATTATTGCATTGTGCAAATGTATGTAATAAGCAGAAAGAAGCATTTGCGACCCTTTAAAATATATATATTCTTTATCAGAGTCGAGATAGACATGTACGTAAGTCCATCTGCTTGAATCACGCAAATCTCAATGACTATAAGAGATAGAGACTTCACATTTTGGAAATGGGTTTTTGAATACCACGCGCTGTTCAAATATCGATACTTATCGTTTTCCGATAGCAATAGGAGCCACAATTTAAAGGGCAACGGCTTTTTATTGGCATTGAAATGCTTTTGACCAACTGGCCAAATTTTGTGAAGTTGGGATAACAGACACCCAAGTTACAGTCGAAAAGGTAGTCTCATATTGATGTCATTTCTATCAGCAGGCGCAACCATTTTCTATGCCATTGAGAGCAATTCCAAGCAAAATGCTGAGGGGAAATATAGCAATAAAACTAAAATATATTTAACAGCTGGGTATATCATAGCATAACTCACTCGACTACAGCATTCTTAATTGTTTTTTCTTCGCCTAGTGTCTATAAATTTGGGCGTGACAATGAAAAAGAATCTCTATCGACTTTCAGTCAATGGGCGAACAAAATTCCCAAATTCAATTCAATTAAATATTTGACATATTCAAACGCCATGTCGAATCAATTTCCCAGAATTGATAGCGAATCGGCAAACCCCATTCATTTTAATACTGTAATCAGTTTTGAATAAATACTTCTTATCATTTTCTTGGGAATATGTTTTGCCATTCTGATTTTATAGAAGACAGTCAAGTTATCAGGAAATAATTTATAAAGTGACGGAATTTGAAATTTGTTTATCATATTGTTTCCTCATTGAGGAAAGTCAAAGAAAGCTAATTTCTAATGCGAAGGCCCATAAATTTGATAGATCTTTATGAGCGAGTAAGAAAGCAACGAAGGTGTCTATCTCGACTTTCAGTCAATTGGATAACATAATACTAAATTATACAAGCAAATAGAATGGGCTGTGCTGAAAAATCTGTGCCAAGATTACCAAGTGAAAGCTGGCAAAACAATTTTCAAAAGTGGCTAACTTCACGGCTGCCAACAAATTTATCACAACATGCCAGAACCCACACACATACACACACACTTATCGCTTGGCATATCTAGATATGCGGCAATCTCATATATCATGCGACAGGGCCAACAAGACTTAAATAATATTCATAAGGTAAAAGACGCTTTGAGCACCTCTAGAGAAATAAAGAAGATCCATCCCAAAAGAAAATGTATTTTTGGGCGTTGCGCATAACTTGAACGATTAATCAAAAGTATAAAATGCAGGCTGGTTGGTTGCAACTTTTTGTTGAGATATGAGTTGTGCTTGTCTTGTGCTTGCAGCAGGTAGAGGGAGTGACAGATGGTAATAGCGCAAGTGCTCTGGCTGCCACACGCAGCTGCGTGACTTGAAGTGGCTGCAAAAACGTTGACAAAAATTCTAGAACCTGCTCGAACGTGCTCATTTCAGCAGTTCAACAATGTTGACTAATTTAATTGTTGTCTGCCATTTTGGTTTAGCACTTTTGCAAGAAAAGCCAAATGAAAGTCTTTCGCTGAGCAGTCAGCCACTTGAAATGTGACAGCTGCTGTTTACCTCTTGTGGCTTCTGTGGTTGATTTTCAATGGCCTGGCACTTTTAATCACGCCATTGTCGCCACCTTGCCCAACCCCATGGCTTCCCCAATACCCCTTGCTCATTTGTTTTGTTGATGGGGAGTCGAGTGGGCGAGTCATGTAACGCGGCTTCAAGTGTCATTTACACGCGCATTGTATTGTGGCTGGAACATCTGCTGTTTGACTGCCTGCCTCTTGGCAGCTTTTTCCGTTTCGCTCTGTTTTGCGTTTTAAGTAGCTGTTAAGCATTTTCATTACACACGCCAAAATGCACAATGATTTATGCGAAGAGCCCCGGAACCTTTATCACATGTTCATTCTGCTGTCAGCGGATTAAAAACTCACTCTACCTATCAACCCCAACCCACTGCCTTATCGCTTCACGCCTCTCTCTCTCTTTCTCTCCCTCTCTCTTTCTCCTACCACTTTCCCCAATTTATCATTAAAAAAATGGCATTTCATGCCGCATGCCTCACATGGTGCACAATACTCGGCTTTATGTTTCGAGTGTTGCGCATTTTCAAGACCAGCACATTGACATTGCACGTTGTTGCACACTGTGTGGTCTTGCTGCCACTGTTGCTGTTGCTGGTGTTATTGTTGTTGTCGTTGTTGTTGTTGTTGGTGATGTTGTCAGTGGGGTTTCGCTTTTGTTTGCTGCAGCTTTGTATGCAAATAAATGGGCGGTCTAGACAGACACGCACAATGGCAGTTTTTATTTGAAAAGTGTCTTCTGCAGCAACAGCAGCAACAGCAGCAACAACAACAGCAACCTCAATATCAGCATATAAGAACAACCGCACATATTTCACATTCGTGTTGTTTCCATTTTTGCTAACAAACTAGAAATTATACAGTTTAACAACTAAACAATAAATGTAGATATATATTTCGGTTAGTATTTTTGTAGAACTCGATATGAATGTGGTTTGTGTGATTTGCAAAGTTAATTATTGAATACCAGAAAAAATCTATACTTATTATAAACATCAAGAAATAAAACAACAATTTTGATTCTGCACGCCGATTTCAGTTAAATATTGCTGGACGTGAGGATAATACAAATAAGTGCAAAGTCAAAATAAGCAGATGATTTATTATAACTAAAATTATTTATGATTTAATGCAGCATCATGGGATCGCAAATAATATTTATCAAAATAATCATCGTTTGCATTTTTGCTCCTAATCTAATATTAACGGATTCTAAGAAAAAAGTAATTTTTTGTTGACTAAAATAAACGATAAAAATGTAACTCACAATTATAAGTTATATTTTTTATTATATGCTACAAAAATCTGACACAAACTTCACTTGATTCAATATGATAAATAAATCAGAATTCAACATATTTTTCTATAACCCGTCCCGCTTCAAACATTTATAAAACATATTTTACCAGTTTCATTTTCAGTTTTTATTTATTTCAATGTAATGTTTTATCCTCTAATGCAACTATGTTGACATTTCACTGCTCTTTTCGTTTATTATTTTTAGTGGCTTGCAGTCTTGCAAATTCCTGCCGGCTACTAAATTGAAATTCATAATTAGTTTTTTATGCAAATGTGTACCAGTGGTGTTGGCGTGTTAAACTTTTGACTGTCGCATTTTATTTCATTGTAAATTTTACTAGGTGACTTTTTTATGCACAATCCAAAAAAAAAAGCTGGGAGTAGGGTGACAAACCTTCAGATACTCCACCTTATTCATTTTTATCAAATATTTTGTTTAAATAAGCTATGAATAAAATGTGGCAGCACTTTGGTTTTTTCTTGATATGCGAACTATGAAATTAACTTGCACAATTTTATAGATGAGTCAGTAAGTTTTTGAGATTACACAGATTAAAATCAGGGCTACACGAGTCGATGTTTATAGTCAATTCAATCAAAATATTTGTATATATTTATGCATATTCAATAGATGGGGATGTGTTTTCCTTTTCAAAGATATTTTTAAAAAAAAGAAGCATTTTTGAGAACAGGGTGTAAAAAGTCAGATACAACAACATTCAGAATCGTGTAGCTTGTATTGTTTTTTTGTGGCCGCACGGAACTTTTGCGAACAAGCGGCAACCGAAATTGTTATATGTTAATTCGATACAACAATTTGGAGCAGTGTTGCATGTTCTCGTGTAAATGGTAACAACGATGTGCCACATGTGCCACATTTAAACAACGAGATGCTGGAAAAACTTGGCCAAAGCCAAAGCCAAACAACCAAACTGAAAACGTTTGAAAAGGCTGTGATTTTGATTTGGTCCGCAACATTTTGCGGTCTAATGGCAAACGGCATTTGAATTTAGATTTAATCCGATTGTAAAATGTGATTTAAATTGAAAGCCTAGCAGTGTACCAATGAGAGGAGTGTGGTAGGGGGGAGGTGGCAACTGTCGCTCTGCAAATGAGATTTGCATTTGAAAGCGCGGGCGTTTTTATGCGAGTTGCGTTCAAGGAAATTTATTAAAGCTTTCATTGCACGCTGGGGAACTGGCACTGGAACTAGGACTACAACCCGGGCCAAATGGCAAACGGTGGCCTTTTGTGTGTCGTAGATTTACAGTTACAGTTTAATACAATTTATATATGTACGCTGAACGAACAGAGTTGATTTTGCAGTCGGGATAAGGGCGATTACATTTTGGTGATTT